GTTGGACTGGGTGACCCACAGAGGTCCCTTCCAACCCCGACCATTCTGTGGTTCTGTGGTATCCACAGTTACAAAGACCTAAGCTGAAGAGAGGACACTCACTGGATGGAGTCAGAACACTGTCATCAAGGTACAGAAGGAGGTCTTTCAGATATCAAGCCTATTCGTGCCTTTCTTGCAGCTGGAGGAGAGATGGCCACATACTCATTCGAGACAACAAGTCATTTTCCACCAGGGTTTTCTCCCCGTGAGGTGGTGTTTCACCCCCGAAGCACCCCCTCTCCCTTTCATAGAGGCTGACCAAAGCAGAGCAGCATCTCCGTGATGGGGCAACCGGGCTCCTCCTGGGCAGTGCTGCCCGCCTGCCTGTCCTGCCCAAGCAGCCGGCTGCGAGGGGGCCCACCAGCAGGCTAATTGAGAGCTCTAAAAGCTGGCAGCAGGAGGGCAATTAAGCCTTTTTCACAGACCGCTGGCCAAATGCTGCAATTTATTGGCTGAGTGATCGGATTATTCATTTGCAAAGCTACGAGAGGGCATTTTCTTACCACTTCAGTTGGCCTGTAGTACTTGTGATTGACTGTCACATGAATCTTGCCAGTCTCTTTGCATCGTCCTACTTCATTTTCATTCTTCCCTTCCCACCTGTAAAGAAGATAAACATTTAATCAACCCATAATTACTTTAGTGCTCTGATCTTACCAACATTTGGCCTGCTTTCATTTACTTGAGGCTGGTGTCAATTCTCCCTGCAGGACAGTATAAACTCATTAGCTATAGGAACAAAGGCAGAGTTTGGGCTTGAATGGAGCAACAATGGCTTTTGAAGTCTCTTTGTTTTGCTTTTTGATTCAGTGGAACGTATAAAATACAGGACTTCCAAATTAAACACATAATGCTAGAGGAAAATAAAATGTCCTGATTTCAGAATGTCTCACGTATCTGCAAATAAATATGACAGTGAGGTTTCTTATTTGTGGATTGGTTCAAAGTTGTTTTCTTAAAATATTTTTAATTCTTGTATTTTGGCCAATACTATCAGGAACTCTTTAATCTGTTAATTTTATGAACATGAAGCTCTGTTTGCATAGCATTAAGATGCATAATTTAATTTGTGCTTAACTAGGAAAAACAAAACCAAACCAATTCTTGAGTTTTCAGTCCTAGCTTGACATGGCACTTCACATACACGCACTGCAAACAATACTTACTACCTGTGAGCTGAAAGCCAGCTACTTTGTCCAAATTAGTTTCATGTGTGTTGAACAGCCTGCAATTAGCTGTAATTCCTGTGATCTGGTTGCACTGTGAACTATTTCATTAGCTACTGTCCTGAAATTTTGGGAGCAGCAGAAGAGGAACTGTTTGGCGGGTGACCAGCTCCGCCTTTGGAGAGGCCTGCCTGCAGCCTGGGGGCCTGAGGACAATCACAGATTCATGGAATCGTTAAGGTTGGAAAAGATATCTAAGATCACCATGTCCAACCATCACCCTAACACCACCATGCCTACTAATCCCTGTCCCAAAGTGCCAGGTCTACAGTTTTTTTTAACACATCCAGGGATGGTGACTCCACCACTTCCCTGGGCAGCCTCTTCCAACGCCTGACCACTCTTTCAGTCAAGAACTTTTTTCCCTCAGCTGGTCCCTCATAAGACTTGTTCTCCAGAACCTTCACCAGCTTTGTTGCCCTTCTCTGGACACGCTCCAGCACCTCAGTGTCCTTCTTGCAGTGAGGGGTCCAACACTGAACACAGCACTCGAGGTGCAGCCTCACCAGTGCCGAGTACAGGGGCACAGTCACCTCCCTACTTCTGCTGGCCACACCATTCCTGATACAAGCCAGGATGCCATTGGCCTTCTTGGCCACCCGGACACACTGCTGGCCCATGGTCAGCCCACTGTTGACCAACACCCCAAGGTCCTTTTCCACTGGGCAGCTTTCCAGCCACTCCTCCCAAAGCCTGTAGCGTTGCATGGGGTTGTTGTGACCCAAGTGCAGGACCATGGCACTTGGCCTTGTTGAACCTCATATAACTGGCCTTGGCCCATCGATCCATTCTGTCGAGATCCCTCTGCAGAGCCTTCCTACCCTTAAGCAGATCAACACTCCTGCCCAGCTTGGTGTCATCTGCAAACTCACTGAGGGAGCACTCGATCCCCTCATCCAGATCATTGATGAAGATGTTAAATAACTGGACCGAACACTGAGCCCTGGGGAACACCACTTGTGACCAGCTGCCAACTGGATTTAACTCCATTCACCACCACTCTCTGGGCTTGGCCATTCAGCCAGTTTTTACCCAGCAAAACGTACACCCATTCAAACCAGGAGCAGCCACGCTCCCTCTGGAAACAAGTGCTTCAGATGACACACGTAGGAGTGCACATCGGTGCATCGGACCTAATCCATTGAATGTACAAAATCCAGAATTATGATTGAAACTCTATCCTCTCTTCGCTTTTTGCCTCTACATGTATACAATGGGACTCTGAAGCAGCTTGGCATAAAAGTGTAGCACTGAGGTGCTTTACTTTTTTTGTGTTTAAGTAAAACCTACGTAATTTAAATCAGCACTGTGATTTAGATCGTTTAGCCTCAGTCACCAGCAACGAAAGAAAAGCGCCTCTTGCTTCCCACTTACTAATTGTGCTGCCAGCTCTTGGGATTTTGTCACAGATTTGATTTCGCCTTGCTCCCCTGCCCCCACGAAGCTCCCAGAAGAATTTAATTCTTTGACAATCTTAGCCTTTTTTTTTTTTGAGTTTCTAGCCCCGAGGGCTTAAGGAGGAAAGTCTGAAAATGTGACCTCTGTGTACCCACGAAGGTTAAAACACCGAAAGGCAGAAGGAAATACATTATTACTAGCTTTTAAATCCCACGATTTTTTAAGTACAACTCATGACTTTTGGATGACTAGCAAAGCCTGTAGGATGCTTGATACTGGGAACACTTCACATTTAAATAATTGCGAACAGATAATAGCTGCAGTGAAGTCAGCTGTTAATAGTCATGCCACGATGCTAAAGATGATTTATAATGCAAATTTTCTTTCTTTTTCGCAGTTGCTCTGTTTGAAGCCTGAACTGCTAAGTTTCCATTCAGAAGCCAAAACTAACATTAGTCCCTCCCTTTAAAGGGCAGAGGGTAAAAATGTGCAGGACTCAAATGAGCTTAATAGAAAACTAACCGTCACCAGTAAAACAACAGGAAGGGCTTAGATCAGGAGACGTCAGTTGTTGTTGGAGGTCACTGAGCAGAGAACCCCATTTAACACCCAACAGGCTCCAGAAGGCTTGGCCGAGCCAGTAAAGACTCACTTAATGTCGCTATCAAAGTTATACAACAATAGAAATGGCTTCAGAAGAAATCTCCACCCGTTTTGTTCAGCCCAGTAATGTGAAAAGTTCACAAGGAAAGAAAAGTTTTTCTCTTTGTGAACAAAGTAGCATCTGATAGCTGCACTTCTAATTACTCCTGGCACCTCGGCGCTCACAGCTGGGGACACCATACTGCTGATAAAAGGGACTGTGCGGGGGCCAGCCTGACACCAGGAGCAAGACATCCACCAGCTCTCCCCCGCCTCTTCCTCTAACCATGAGGAAAGGAAAAAACCACCACCAAGACCTTCCTTAATTTATAGTAAAGTTGCAGTCAGAATTATTAACTGGAAAACGCAACGCCAGATTATCCTGAAGCATGAGCGTGGTGGAAGAGGCACGGGGAACTGTCCCGTCGCTGTGGTTTTACACAGCTCCAGCCACAAGGACTCCCCAGCTTTCTGCTCCTTAGGGCAGATGCCCAAGTAGGCAAGAAAAGAGCCTTGTGTAACTTGGGGGGAACGCAAAGGATCCCTGGCTAAAGAAAGTTTGGCTAATAAGGGCTGGGCTACATTTATAGAGAATGGGGAGTGAATCCCCCCAACTGCTGTCAAAGCTCAGGGCTTCCAGGCAAGTGCCTGCTGACCTAAGTGCAGGCTTTTCACAAAACGCTGGTCCTAGAGTCTGCAGGCATTGAGCTTCTACAGCCAGAACATTCCATGCCCCACACTGGGGAGCTTCACCCTCTCTCTGAAGCAAAGGATGGGTTTGTTCTCATGGCTGATGGCATCAGCCATACGTCAGAACGCTCTGCACCCGGAGAAGGATGCACAAGACCACATGACTGCTACTGACAAGGTGGGTTTAGTGCCCTCTGCACCTACACTTCCACGTCGAGTGCCTCACTGTTGGAGATGGGTGCTTTGGGATTGCTTAGGATGACAGTCGTTGTCAGCTCCGGTGGATACCACTACTATCACTGACCTCAGAAATGTCCGTAAAACTAAGTCAATCCCAATTCAAATGCATGTGCAAGTTTGCTTGCTTAAAAGGTTCTCCGCCTCAAGAGCTTTTACTCTCTGGATCTACAGAGGAATGGACTGCATTTAATTGAAGACTAATTCCATATCTGCCGATCACTACTGTTACAATACTTATTATCAGTGGTGATGAATGCTCCTTTTCCTCTTTACCTCTGGAGATTCCAATTACTTTTCATTTCCTACTTCTATGCAGCAAGACGGAAATCTTCAAGCTATAAAAACAACCACAGATATAGAGGATTTTCTGAGGACAAAGAGCTGGGGTACCCACCCGGTGGGGTGTGAGATGGGAAGGGAAGGATGCAGAGGGGCCAGGATAATCGAGGGGGGTGGGAATAGCACTGCAATGGACCAAATGGTCCGAACGGCTGTGACTGTGAAGCAAACAAGGCAAAGTACACATATTTTTGAGGTGGTGAAGAAATCAACTGAAAACGAAATCTTTCACAGAAGCACAGATAAACTGAACAAGCATATGCATTTCATCTCCTTGCTTGATCTTCACGTAGAAATAGAACTGATAGCATTGTAAAAAGTATTCAGAACCACTGGGAGCTACAGCTGGTCAGCCTCTTTATGGAAAATAAAACTATCACGTACACCTTTTAAATCAAATATATGCCTATAGAAAATTTTTCACATTTGAAAATGAACAATAAATTAATGAAAAATTAAATCATAGGAAAATCTTGCTCTTCCTCCACAGCTAATACGAGATACCATTTGTGTAGACTTCTTGGATTTGTGGCCTGATTGCTGCTACGCACACAATTAAGCCAAAGCAGTTTATTCTGTCCTGGCACTTTATAAACAGCACAACTGATATCATATTACAGATCACTAAAGTCTTTACAAGTAATCTGTTGTAGGAAAACTTTAAATATGACTCTTCATATGTTCCTTTGTCACCAACTCAACCACCAACCCTGCCAGCAGCTCTGCTGCATCAAAGCAATCAAGAACACAGATTGCTCCACCATGATCTTGTGCTAAAATCTATAGAACAAGTATGCTATCGCAGAGGGGTGTACTTAAAATTGATTTCAAATGTTCTGATGAATCAGGTCTTCAGTGTTTGTTCACTAAAGGAACACAGTTAAAACAACGCTATTGTTGTTGTTACATTTCCAGCACTGTCAAGATCAAGTTTCAAAAATCTAAATTCTGACTCCCCATATTATGAGACTTTGAAAAAGAATACATGCTAGAATGCCTATTTTTTGGTTTCTTTTTTTTTCAGTTCATTGGAAATCTTTTGAAGCTCTTATCCCTTTACTCTAA